CCGAGGCCAACTTCGAAGTGAGGGCCTTCATTCCTCTCGACCAAGTCATCGCTTGGCCACCTCTCCTCTTCTTCCATCCCCACCCCCGGCAAGCAAACAACGCACCGCGTGGGAGCCGGTGGGCTGGCATGCGTAACACGTAGCCCAGCCATTGGAGCCTGGTGGCTGAAATGACGGCGCTGAGCGGTTCAGTTCCTTTTACTCTGCCATAAAAAAGGCGTCGAACACGCTCGTTGCTCACGCGGTGTTCCCATCAGATGTGATCCAAATTGCGAAGGTACCGTTGGTCGAACGTAACTAGCCTCGTTATGTCCGTTGATCTAAGGGGCCAGGTCTCATAACGTATAACATGGTTGTATATACGGCTGCATTGTACACTCTACCCTTCAGGGCGAGAGTGATGTCGCACCTGCGCCATAAGTGAGGAAGGTTAGCAAAAGCACTTCGCGCTTTTGCTATACGGTTCGTGATCTCATCTTCGATCCCAAGGGTGGTGATACAACTTCCCAGGTAGTTGAGTTTCTGAACGACTTCTAACTGCTCCCCACCAATGGTTAGCGCAGGAGGCGGTCCATGTCAATCTTGGAGGAAAGCTTTGCACTTCGATGGTGCAAAGCAAAACCCGAAGCGAACGACAGCCAATGCTAATCTGTCCAGTGCAGCTTGGCACGTTTCGGAGCTGTCAGCTTGGGCCATCTCGTCTGCATACTCCAAGTCAAGAAGTCGTTCGCCTGGGAGCAGATCCACACTTTCATCTCGTAGGTGATTTCCATGACATTTCAATAGCGAAGTTGAAAAGGAAAAGTGACAGCGGGCATCCTTGCCTCACCCTGCCGGAGATATTGAAGGGCGGCGACAGATTGCCGTAAGCTCTCACTCTGTCTGAGCTACGCGCGTATAGTGCGTGGATAATATTTACATATTTCCCGGGCACACTTCTCCTGAGTAGACAGTCCCAAAGGGCACATCGATCAACCGAATCGAAGGTACATTTGATGCCGAGAGACACAACGGTGGGCTGCCGATATATGTGACGGTGCTCTAACATCTGACGCAAAGTGAAGATGTGGTCGATGCTATCATGATCTAGACGAAATCCGGCTTGCTCCTTACGAACCTGGCTTTCACAAGCGCCAGTCAGTCTGTAAAAGAAGGATGACATAGGCAAGCAATGTATAGGTGATGGGGATCAAACCGATTCCTCTATGGTTGCCGCATTCCGAACGCGAGCCTCTCTTGAAACTTGGGACCATAACGGAGTGGCTGCAGTCGGTTGGGACAATTTCCTGCTCCCACAGTTTTACTATTAACTCGTGTAAATCATCAACAAGAGCAGGTCCCCAGAATTTGAAGAGAGCTGGAGGAAGATCATCTAGTTCCGCGGCTTTATTCAACTTCAGAAGCCAGGTCTCGCGTTCCACTACTGAGCGAGAGGGCGGATCCAAAGGGACAGCACAGGTAGCAGGGCGATCACTGGTCGGTGAGGAATCTAACAATTCTGGTCGATTAAATTGCCTTCCGAAATGCTCAGCCCAACGCTCTAAGCCTTTTGACAAGTTGTGGATAGGCTGTCCACTCTCGTCACAAATTGTTTGACTAACACCAGGTCTCCTGCTGCCCGTTTCCCGTATCAGCCGGAATAACTCACGATGGTTACCAAGGGCGGCGACCACTTCCATTTCTGATGCACGATGAGACCACCAGGATTCGCGGTCTCTCTTCAGGCTAGCACGGAGCTTTGCCCTCAGGTCTTTGCATGTCTCATTGTGTTGGCCTCCACCCAGAATATGATGGCGAGCATTGATAAGTTCCAGAGACCGCGAAGAGACCCAATGTCCATGTTGGCTATTTGACTTACCACATGAGGATTTGCCTACTGCTAGTAAGAACTGGTGAACCTGCGACCAGTGACCTACAATTGTCTCCAGTGAGCGCTTACACAACCCGCATGTCAGCGTATTTCGATAAGCATTCAGAACAACTGGGTTTGCCAGTGGACTGGTGTCAATGCTCTCATAGCGTCGTCGTGGGCGTCCGGCGAGGTCAGCACATACGAGTGCACGGTCGCTGTCCACACACGTGCTCCATATCGATCGACAGTTTTGGACGCAGCGGTAACTGATCGTAAGGTGATCGATTTGCGTCCAAGGCTGGTGGGCGCCAAATCACCGTCCGGCAGGTGCTGTGTCGGAAGGTAGTGCTCGCAAGAAATAAACAGGCATGTTCATGTAAATGGAGTATCCGGTTACCGTTATCACTACGGGAGCCTACACCGTGTTGGCCGCCCAGATGCAGCTCATCAGTGGACAATTTTCCAACTTGAGCGTTCAGATCCGCAACTAGCGCCACAGTGTCCGTGCTTCTTCTGTGGCGATGGAACTCGTTCAGTTGGTGATAGAAGTCGTCTTTTATCGACTCCAAGAGAATTGTTGGTAAGCAGAAATAGTAGCATCTTTAACACAGCTTTTGCGGTGCAGGTGATATTGGATAAACGTGATGGTGGAGCTATAAAAACAAGAAAATTCGAGCTTGTTACTCCACGGAACATTAGTGCTGTTAAACAAACTACGAGACACACTCCTAGAAATGAAAAATGGGCCAATGATTTTTCGACTAGTCAATCCAGCCCAGGCCCTAAGCTTCGCACTATATTGCACACATGAAGCACTACATATCCGTGGGTCAGTTGTTGCCTAAATATGTTGCGTCTTTTCGCAATGCAGACGGAAAACCGCCTCATCGGTGGATGTATGCTCAGGCTGTTCACAAACAAACGGGCGAATTCCAGGCGCCTCTGTGAATCGCATGTGTTGAAAACTTGCATCTGCAGTGCACTGTACCGTGGAAATGTTTTTCTATAATATCCGATGCACGGCATACGGCGCAATGTTGTGCCAGTTACCCAGTGCTAAGATGGCTCTTACTGCATATACCACTTGCACAACCGCGCAAGCTAATACCTCACCCGTGACGGTGCGAGGCCGTGCGGTTTGTGTGATGTTGCAAACACTGACAGTTTCCTCAAAATCCTTTACCACTCGACGCATATACCGATCGATGATGGGCCGCGTAACGCAGTGTATAGTGTTGTAGCGCATAGGGGGATACTTGAAGCGTAAAGGTTATAGAACAGAACCCAACAGCCTGGATGAATTGAAAGGCAACATGGCGAACGAATGTAGCCGGATCTCCTTGGAGACATTGCAGAAGGTGCTTACCAACACCAAGCAAAACGACGGAGGGAACTTCGAACATCTAATTCATTGATATTTACAGACATTTCATGTAAATATAAGTGAAGAAATATATAAATGTATGTTCTCGATTCCACGTGAGAAACACCATGGAAGGCATGCTCAGCTTGTACAACAAGCAAATGTCTGACTGTGAAGGCAATAGTTGCATTCATGACTAAATGTGTGTGCTGTCTAATGGTGGCACTAGTGCGTCCGGACATAATGAAACCTAAGAACATTGTCTAAAGCGAACAAGACTGTAACCTTTGAAAGTGCTCCTGACAGTATGATTTCGCTTAGCAGCAAAAGCAGCCTAATAAAGGCTTCCGGTTTGTTGGAAGCCGGTCATGAGGCTATAACAGCTTTTGTTGCGATTGTAAAAGACAGGTTTTGCGATAGCAACCGGCGCATATGGTCAGGCTGTTCTTTTCAATTGATAGCACAGCGATCAACTAACCATTTCGCAGGGATCCCTTTTGCTGGCTTGTTAACCTGCGTGAAAGCCGTTTACCAATCCATTACGGTTTGGCCAACATTCACTTCTCTCTACCGAACGGTCTGGGTTCCGTCGATCTACCCTGCGTTGGAAACATGACACGTCGATTGGGGCTTTGGTGTTTGGTCAGCATTCATTTCTCACAGCCGACCAGCCTAGGTTCTGTTGGTCTGCACCACGATCGTAGACACACACGTCCCGCCTCTGTGTTCCAAACCCACCCCTACCATCCACTTTCGGGAAACGAACATTCGCGATTGGACAGTTGGCAATTCAGCGTGCAGTGATAAGTCGGCACGCGAGCGCGGCAGCTCCCGTAGTTAGGATGCTTCATTGTCAAGGTGATACATGACCGGTTCTTCTGTTCGTTTGTCACTGCTCTATGACCAAAAATCCAGCGACCGGATACTATTCGGTCCCTGGTGCAGCATGGTACAATGGCAATTATTCTCGTGTTCCCATAGTGGTCCACATTGTCGATGCCACTTTAGGTCAACCGCTTGCCAGCACTACAAGCCAAGACGGTTGTGGTTACTCGCTTTCGCTCTCGATCACTGCGCTGATAGTGTTTGATTGGTTATGTTCTCACTGGCCTTAAGTCATCATGATTTTGGCCGGCCCGTAGCGTAAAGGTAACCGGCTTTTTTGTGATCTGACGGCGCGGGATCGAGCCTGTGTAGGGGCAGGGCGACTCTCGCAGTATCCTTAGCCCACGTGTGACCGGTGGTGGTTGCAAGGCAGCGAAGCGTCGGTACTGCGTACCGGCGTACTGCTGATGCTTTTCATTCTTTCATTTGTCCTGATTTTACCCAATCGTCAAGCGCCCTCACAAACAACATGACATGCAAACAGGACCAACTGCGTGACTACTGTCGTCTAATAACTAAAGTTGGATCGGGACGAGTGTGATTGAGGATAGTAAGAGCCACAAAAAAGTCTCGTCCGTGCTACTAGCCAGTTGTTTCTTGGCCACGCGGTGTTCTAAGTATGCAAGCTATCCGAATATGAATGCTTCCCAACGGTGTTTAGATAAACGCTAGATCCCTTCATTCTTTCTTCTTAGTCATTATCACCAGAGTTGTCAAGATTTAAGTATGGTTAGTGAAACATCAGTAAAAAGTACGAATTTAGTGTTGCTGTTAATGATGAGCGCTGGGAATGAGCATAATTCCACCGAGAAGAAGCATGACGACCAAACGGATTTCTGCACGAGTTCCACTTGGACAGGCACACAGAGAGGCGCGGCGTGCACCAAGACAAACACTCACTCTATATCCAGATGTGGTCTTTCCTGCATCAATCCCTCAACGCCGACCGCAATATCCGATTCTTCATTGTGCGAGCTCGTTGGCTGGCCCATACGATGAGTCCAGAGCGCCCAGACTTGAAATTCTAACTCAGCCTCAGTTAAGTAGCTACGACAATCGGAGCTCACGTGCAGCGTATATTGCTTCTGATCAGAAAACTAAAACACACGGAAAGTAATGTTAATATGGAAGGTCGAGAATGCAAGGGCACTGTATGCCGAGGGAGTGCTATCAGTAGGAGATTGTAAAGAGAAATTTCATTTCAGGTTCACTAGTTCTATAAAACTGAAGCACTGATTTGCTGGCAACGAATAACGTGGGGAGCGGCAGAAAAAATGTGGGACCATTACCTCCACAATGCCTGATACACATCGACCCAACCCACACGGTAGAGGGACCATTCGAGTGGTTTGTGTCCCGTGTCGATAGAATTGAAAACGGACGAACGCGTATCCAGCGAACAGGTTGAGGTCGGGTGCAGGTGATTCAACGATGGACGATCGCTCAGCCAACAAAGTCTCCGCGGAAGGCAATTTAGCAGCGTCCAAATGTATCGTTATATGCTTGTAGCCGTGGCCATACTCGTCTGTGAAAAGTTAACAAGAAAATAGAGAAGTAGGCGAAGTCCCCAGACTAACATCCAGTTGAGCATCAAACGGAGGATTCGTCATTTCTGGCCCCGTCAGTAGTGTGGAATGTTCTTTAGCCTGTTTCTTCGAACCGGATGTTAATATCCTAGCACCACGTAAGAAGCGAATATTCTAATAAACTTGGTTGCTTTGGAGATTCGGAATCGGGTTAGAAACGAGACAAATGGGGGTGCTCAGAAATCGATTATGATGCAAGCAAGGACAATGGATTAAGCTAATTGATTTAAACTGAATTCCTTGCATTTTGACCTAGTTAGATAAACAGTGTGCACCCCGAGAAACGCTGGAAAGCTGTCGGCATCAGTCATGACCAAAGGCGTTCAACTTCTCCTCATCCATGTGTACATGCATGTTTCGTGAAAACCGAGAATAAACTACTACTACTATAATTATCATAAAAAGCATGGCTGTGGCTTCAAGCTATTCACGCAAGCAGAGAAATGTGCATGATATGAGACCATTGAAAGATGGTTATTTCAATACATATCGGAACCTTGCAGGTACCGGAATTCAATCTAGTTGTGACAAATCCAGTTCAAACTACACGGATATTTAGCCTATCTAATATTTGATCAAGCACCCTACAGCTTCACCATGTCCGAGTGAAGATTGGAACACATACGGCGCTAATAGCTCAACCAACATCCGGGACAGGGTCTAGATGGGTAATGAAAAAATGCATATTTCAAGAGGCACAAACATTACGGTGTCCACTTTCTCCGTCAAATTGTGCTTACCGATTCCATTGTGCCAAAGGCATGGCTCCTCGTCCAATTCTATGGTGGACTCATCGTCACCGTTTGATGAGGAAAGCAACGGTAGTGGAATCGCCCACCGCCGAATACAATGCATTAGCTCCGTCTCCTCTGTATGATGCCGTACTGCGTACTCCAAAAGACGATACCGCCCTCGTAATCCATCGACAAACTGCGCGCTAAGCTCTACACCACCACCGAAACGACCGCATGGCACACCTGAGGTGGACTGCTTCAGAAAACGACACAATGGATACATGCGTTTTGGGATACAGCCACGATTGGAAAACAGCAGTCCACCAAGCGGAATGCGGCTACTAGCGAATAATTTGTACCCAGCACCCGGGTGTATATTCTTCAGTGATTCACCTGAGTCCAGACCATCTACAGTGGAGAATGTAGGATACCATTGAAAGAATGTAAACTTGTATATCAGTCAAGATAAAAAAAAAAAGTTAGGGAAATAAGTCGAACCTGAAAATTGGGTGACTAGTGCCCGAGCATTCAGATGCAACCAAATGGGTTATATGTTACCTGTGTGGCTGGTTTGATTGCTTCGCTGCCGAGTTTGCCTTCCACTCTGGTTTGGAGTAACCACCGTGCGTGTGGACTATGACAGTGGACCTCAGTTTGGGGAGCGATTTGCCCTTAACTAAAACATGATTATTCGTAGAACTGGGACCGAATCCGGAATGGAAGGCTTTTGCGTTACTGGTCTCCGAAACTGCACTCCGCACCAGTCTCGTCCTTGTTCGTGCTGTTCAGGTAGAAATAGTCAGCAAGGGCTGAGAGTAGACCATCGACACAAGCAGCGTTTGTCCCAGAGAATATTGCTTACGCGCGTTAATGACGGAACTTGATGGCCCACCAACACTAGCACCACTAACTGACCAGCCCCAGCAGTCGATGCTTGAAGAGTCTAGACAAGTACTGAACCGGGTACGGAGTGCAGTGATTTGAGCAGGTGATGCCGTGAATGTCAGTAATCCGGAAGGTTATATTTTCCCATGATACATGCGCTTCGTCAGGTACAGTACAGAATCAGTGCAGCACTTTATGTAGAGCCGGAGCGAATAGCGGAGGACGGAAAGGTTCACCAGAAGGCCATTGCGATCGCATGTAGCGGTACCATTGTGAGATTATACAATGGAAGGAAACAGTCCTGTCGACACCAATGTTTAAAGACGACCGACATTTCTCAACGTGTGACGACCACATTCCTCGTGCTTGGAACGGTGTCGCTGGTAGAAGAGTGTTGCATAACATGCCGTGGAGTAGTATGCTAACATCCTACTGGTCTCAAGTGCGACCATTGTATTTGGAGGACCGTGTGCCTAACTGACGCACGCATGCGACACATCTAGGCTCAACTGAATGAATCACTGACCACATTGCTTGGTGATATTGATAACTGGTATCGTAACAACCCAACCGCGACCGATATTTAATATTCCGGGCGCAATCGCTTAAAACCACGGGGCCACAACATTTCAAGCTACGATATGTTAACTAACGTTAGAGAACTCAGTTGTAGTAAATTCGGCTTCCCTGAATCGCAAAATAGAAGCAACCAGTATGGTTTTGAAATAAAGGACAAGCAGATGGCGAATGGAGAGAAACTATAAAAGTGCTGGATTAAGAAGTTTGTGTGTCGGGGTAGTGGTGTAGAAAGGGGGCAGGGTGGTCTGCTCCAAGCGACAGTATCGGTGGCAGCCGTTAGACTAAGAAAGAAAACTCATAATCAATTATTATTATTATTATATTTCCCTACTAAGCTTGCTTGACTATTGTTATAATCACCACTATTTAAATATTTGTTCTAGTTTTTTGAACGAAATCAAGCTCAAATATTTTTACGTTTATCAGTCTTTGCGTGAGTTTTCAATAGAGATTGTAATGAAGAGAATGAAAGAGAGCGGCGCGTCATTCCATGAAAAAGGCTAGAGAAGAGGGGACAGAAAGGAAGGAAGGCGTTACTAAAATTCATCGAAAGCACATCTATGACTCAGGTGGCGGGAAAATGTGATAAACAAGATGAGACCGAAAAATAATGTTGGTGCTGCAAACCATGATATCCGTACAGAAGAAAGCGACATTAACAGGGTTTATGCAGCAAAAATGTCCGTAATGGTGCAGAAGATGTGCGCGAATTTGCAGAAGTAGTAAGACAACCATCAGTTGGCCCGATCACACACAACTGATTTTATGGATATTGGTCTGCGGCACGTTAAGATTGACTATGAAGGTCGCACTATGCTTGTCCGGCTGCGATCTGCTACAGTGAACTAGCACGACCTCGAACACAAACAGAAAATAACTCCCAGAAGCTATAAAGACTGATTTTTCCCTGAGCTGCAGAACGTAAAGAAAAGATCTTGAGCTCGGATGGCGTATTCTCCTTCCGAAGAGGCCATATTTTCCCTCGGGACAGTTCACGTTCATAACTGATGAAGGTTTCACAAACTCGTGGCAAATAAATCCAAAAGTATATGAAGTCAAAGCTAGTAAACCAAATGCTCAGGCATTTCTCAAATGCAAGGAGCCAGAAATCCAGCTAGCTGAAGGGAAGACAATTGACAAAATGCAGCAAGCACTTGTAGAAAAGGAAACAAAGACGTGCTTAAGTCTTGTCAAATTACTGAGTAGCGTAAGTTGCTCGTCTACAAGGTAACAGGGAAAAATCTAGGATGATAAAGGAGGAAGGAAAATAAGGGAAATTTTCCACAACTAAGACATTTGTTGACCAAATATGAACCTGTTTTCCATGAACAGTTGGTGACAATTCAGATAGGGAAATGAATCAGCGCTTCTTATTTACGCATTCCAGCACATGGACTCCTGCGACGTGCATTGTTTGCGCGCCGGCGGTACGATTAGAAGAGGAGCAGAAGCCAAGCGATGACTAGGTCGAGAGAAATGAAGACCCTCACTTAGAAGTTGGCGTCGGTTGGTGCATCTCGATTGCCTGGCTGGGATCATAAGGAAGATGAACACGTTTGGTTAAACACGCCTGCAGATATGGTGAAGAGCCGGCCTCAATGGCGTTTGTGTTGTTTCTATGTCCATCCCCCTCTCTTTAAGTCCCCCCCCCAAATCCCGATCACATACAAGATGCATAACATAATATTTAATATTATATTACCTGCTTTTGAAATTTTTGTAGTGAAATTATTTGTAGCAACTTTTTGTAAAGCGGCACATTAGATGAGGTGTGTTTCTCACTCTCAACTAACGTGTATTGATCACGATGACCTTATTTGTTACAATGAATTTGTAAACACTTCGACAAAACAATTGCGGAAGAAAATAATCGAGCAAGTATATTTTATTTCTCGATAGCTCTACTGATGCATTTCACAAAACCAAAATAAGTGAAGTGTTGCGCTGCGAAAATATGGAGGAAAACGAAGCGAAGGAAGTTGGTGGAGTCGTTTCCATTGTTTCATTGAGACCAAAGGTAAAAGTGTAGAGTAAATTTCTGGACTCATTTTGAGAGAACCGGAAAAGGATGAAATTCAGCTTGATGACTGCCGAGGCCAGGTATTGGACAATACTGTCATTACGGCACGTTACCGATTGGGTGAGTAGAAGTGCATCTACGACATCAATCTAAAAACTACATGTGCACCATACATAAACCATTCTGGCTGGCGTACGTACAGCTTCTGCAACAGTTCACTGGGTTACATTTTTGAGAACAGTAGGCCGGTTACCTCGTTCTGTTCAACGTTTATACTTCGCTAGGACGCCTCGACCGGTCTAAGTATCAAGTGGGCTGTGTAAAGTATATATTGTTTTATCGAGCAGACACTGTAAATGTTATGGTGAAGAAATACTGGGAAATCGTCGATGCTCTGTAACAGCTCAAAGAAGAAGGTGAAATTGCAATCACTAGATCAGATGCATCTTTAATGCTCATCTCGGTACCGTCGTTTCCGTACATTTCGTTTCTTAGCCTCTGGAGATATATACTCCCAGAAATCAATAATGCACAGAAGTAGCTTCAAGTTAAAGGGCTGGATCTACACCGAAGTTCTGTCAACCTCATAGCGCTGAGTTCGCCTTCTTTATTGCAATGGATGGATCTAAAAAGCTGCTCTGAAGTAGGGATAAGCAATGAGCGTCGAATCCGCCAAATGAAATGAATAGATTGTGAATTATTGTTTGGTACTTCCGTAGTATTTGATGCTGATTTGAAACGGGAAACGTTGTCTTGGACAGGATAACAGAAAAGATCATGCAAATTCAAATATGTAAACAAATAGTATTTGCTTGCATCGTCAGAGCTGCATGATGGTAACTATGTTCTCCATCTCATCGAAGTTGATAAAGATAATGAAAAAAGAAATTCCTGTTGAAAGGATGAGATGGCAGTATTTTGTGGAAGTATCCGCGAACGACAAAATCAATGAGCTCTTTGAACTTGTGGGCTTCATGCAGAAATCACGGAGAATCTATCCCGAAAATTGGGATCCTGCAGCGCATCTGTCTTACCCGAACTACTAGTACTTCCAGCTGTGAGCGATCCTTCTCAGAAACCTAGCCCATAAAGTACTACCTTCGGTTAGCAACAAATCAGATAAGGCTCGAGGATTTGTCAGTTCACTGCACAGACATGTCTGACTTTTGATAGTGTTGTCGATAGCTTTGCCCATAAAAAATCGCGGAAGATTTGTTTGTACCCAATTGTATATGATTGGGGTTCGATGAAAATAAATGCTCCAAACGCTTTTCGAACTTTGGAGAGTGAAGAATTTTCCACCGCTAGTGAGGAAGGTGAACATTTCAACACTGAATTTGGCGGCAAAATAAATTGCCGCGCCACTGGTTGGAAGGATATGCTGACTGTCTGACTGTACCGCGTTTAAGCACTACATTCCGCATACATTGTGGTTGTACACCATGAACTCGACGTCGATGATCTTTCCATCGCCTTGTGACAGAGCAGTTACCGTTCAATCAATCAAGCAATCAACAGCAGTACATTAGCCATTCGAACTGGCGTTTCGCTGCCATACAACCATGAGAATCTAATGTATAAAAAATAATAAGAGGGAGAGAAGAGAGACTTTCCTGAAAACCTTAATGCCCTAAGCAAACATTCGGAATCAAAGCGCCTACACCTTGTGTTAACAACATACCGTCAAAAACAGCTGGCTATCGTGCAAACATAAGGCGGCATCAGCGAGATGGCTACCTTGCGGCTTTCACTGCCCCCCCCCCGCAGATAAGTCAGCACCAAACACACTTTAAACAGGCAGTTCGACTAGAAGACGGCAGAAGACGCACCCCTGGTGTCGGCTTCGAGCAAAGTCCAGTAAAGTCTTAAGCCAAGCACAAGAAGGGTCACGTGAACTCCGGCCCGGAAGGTGAAACCGACCGAC